GCGCGGCAGTAAAGAAATGCCAAGCAGCGGCGGCAAGTTCTCCGACAGAAGAAAACCTGGAGGACGCCCTAGGAAAGAAAAGTCAGAAGAGTCGGACCGATTAACGTAAGACGCAAAAAAAACATGGGAATAGGCAGGTTCTAGGGACGGGGCTAGGGCAGTTATGAACAACCGACCACTTTTTCGCAAAAAAAATTTCCATGTGCAGGCTAGGTAAAAGAAATGGCAATTGAGGAAGGGATCGATGACCAGCAAAGCGAAGGGAATCAGGGCACGAATGGGGATGGGGAACGAAACGAGGGATCAGCCAGGGATCGAGAGTCAGCCAAACTAGAAGGAACCCGAGAAGACAGGAATGATGCCTCAATTGGAGAAAACTCAGGGAAAGCTGGGGGTAGCAAAAGGGGACCTCAGGAAAACAGGGAAGGGGGAAACGATATGAGAACAAGCCCTCGGAACCCAGCAGGAGCCACCCCTAAAAAGACAAAAGTCTCGGATGCCAGCCGTAAATTGGCAGAGATAGAAAAGCAGACTGCAGAATTTAAGGCAACGCTTATCGAGCAGATGATGGCCGAGGAGGAGGAGGACCCCCAAGGCGCAGGGTCATGTGAGGGACGCAGGATCGGTCACGACGAGGCCAGGTATGAGGAGAAGGATAATAGCCACAAAGGAACGCCTAGCAAGAAGGGGAAGGACAAGAACGACCCCCCGGCGGAGGGGACGGAAAACGCTACGACCCCGCCTGCCATCGACAGCGGCACTAACCGACTGCCCGCCACGCCAAAAGTAACAGGGGCGTGCGATGGACTCTGGAGCCTTAGGAAAAGGGTGCTAGGATGGTTTGACCCAGAAGGAACGCTTAAAACCAGGGAGAAGCAGAGGGAAAGCAAGGAAGGGGAAGGGACCAGTGCAACTGGGGAAGCAGGTAGCTCCGAAGGTGGTCTCAAGAGGATAGTCACCACCCTCACCCGGGCACTAAACAAGAACCAGGGATACCTCGCAAATGCAAAAAAGAAACTCACGTTCGATGGGGCCAACATTACGGAGTTTCTAATAGAGTATGAGAACCTAGCAGCCTTACTGAAATGGACGGAAGAGGAAAAGATGGAGCACCTAGGGCAGCACGTGTCGCTAAGCTTGGGAAGGGACATTACGGCCATCGTCGCCTCCAGTGGATCCTGGAAAGAAACCAGGAACGAGATGATGAGGAAATACCTGAAGGCAGAGAAAATGGCAACAGAGGCCGAATTAGCCGCAGTCCAGAGGAAAAACTATGCGACTTACAACGATTTCCTAAGGGCATTCACGTTAGTGGCTCTGCGAATTCCCGGGGTAACGAACCGTATAATGAGTAAATACTTCCTCATGCAGTTTTCCGAATTCGATAAAGATAAGATTTTGTCAGCATACCAGCAGACCAGTAAGTTCGAATACACGAGAGACGTGGACTTCAGCACCGTAACAAACCTTGCGGAAAAGACAGTGGTCACCGAGACGCTAGCCCTGCTTAAGGAAGGGGAGGTCATAGATCTGACCGGGAAGACGGGGGATAAGGTCAAGAAGGGGATAGAGAGTTTGCACGAACGAGTGCACGGGGTTGACAGCAAGATGGACAGAATGGAAAATGCGCTGTTAGTAATGCAGGCGCAAGTGTCCAGACCCGCCCTCCCGCCCCAAGAGGCCGTGGTTCCGGCAGCCGTAGCAAACCGGGGGTTTGGCAGAAGGGACCCGGCCAACGAACAATGCAAGTATTGCACTATGATCGGGCATTTCGTACGGGCCTGTCCGAGACTCAATCACGATATTGAGCGGCAGAGGTGTAGTAGGTCCCTCAAAGGCGAGATCCTCGGACCCAAGGGAGAGCGCGTCAATTGGAACTCGCCAGGAGGGATGCGGCGAGCCGTCATCCTCCTGAATAACTTAGAGATAGGTGTCGTGGAAGCAGAGCCGATAGCCGAGATTGTTTGGGACCAGCCAAGGGGACGGGGACCACAGGCCAATTTTATCCTGGAAGGCAATGGCCAGGATAGGGTAAATATCACCACTTGCCGGGCCGGCGCAGAAAAGAAGCTTATTCAAGATACAGTAATGGAAGAACTCGCAGGGACTAGCACGGGCCAGCTAGAGACCGATGGGAAGCCAAGGGAGGACGAACCAGTAGACAAAGTTACGGCGACAAAGAAGAAGTCCAGGTATCAGATTTCGATCCTGACTTCGCCAGAAATCGATGGCACCCTGAGTAAGCTACTGGGTACCATGGTGTCGGTGTCTTTTCAGACCATGCTGCAAGCCAGCCCGAGGCTGCTTAAAGGACTCGGGCAGTTGCTAACGCGTCAGCGCGTAGAGGTTGAGGAGGCCCCCGAACTGCAAGAGCAGGACACGGAAGAGGCCGAGGCGCCGCAAGGAGTCTCCAACCTACAAAGCATTCCAGGGGGCCTGGAAGATTTGGAGAAAGCCTTTGCGGACATCCGCCTAAGCCTACCGGATCGTGAAGGTGGCGAAGTCATGAGGGCGCCACCTGGGACAAAGCTTAGCTTTCATGCATTACCAGTCGGGAAACTTAAAGTTCAAATCGGAACCCACCACACTGACGCGTTAGTGGACGGCGGAGCAGAAATCACCCTCATACGACGAGATTTCGCAACGGTCACGGGGTGCACGGTAAACAAGGAAGTAGCAGGGAGTATCTGGGGAGCCAGTGGCGAAATTCCTTTCACAGGGTATGTCACCAAATGTGCAGTCAGGGCGGGAATCCGGGAATCCATCTGGTCCTTTCAGCGGATGATCCTGATGGAAGAAATGGATCATGACGTAATCCTCGGGAGACCGTGGTGCGCCAATGTGGAAATGATAGGAATGCACCTGCACGACGACACATACATGGTAGACATAGAGGACCCAGTGACCGGTCGCGGGGAACTCCTCCGACTTCTTGGGACCGAAGGGGATCCTCCGAAGGGCAAATTGGCAACCTGGTCTCCAACATTCGAAGAAAGTGAGCGGAAAGGGGCATTCGCACGAATGGAAGGCATGAGGGAAAGGGTAGAAATTGTGATCGAGGAGGCTTTTAGTAAAAAGGAATGAATCAAGATGGGTCTGCCCGTAAAAAAAAGGAGGCAAGAGGACGAGGCCCTGGAAGTTACGGTGGCAGAAAAAGAGTCGGAAGTCGAACTTGGGGCCAACCTGCCCAAACCAAAGGAAGGCCGGAACGAAGCGTCGGAGGTGGTACCTGATGTCCCAGATTTACTACAACTCGTTAAGGCCATCAGGTACCACAAAGTGGGGGTGGACCCCGCAGCACTTGCTAGATTTGAGGAAGGGGTCCGAAAGGGCTACTGTCTGAATGGGAAGCTGGTCAGCATCCAGCCCCGCATCTAGGACGTAGCAAGGCCGATCCCGACCGTTCATTTTTTAGGAGAACGATCCCAGAGGACAGTGTGCGAAAGTACAAACCCGTAGGGAAGAAGGCTAAGCCGGTCTCGATCCTAGTAGAAACATAAAGGGAAGAGGCCATGGAAAAAGAGGAGGAGATCCTACGGGTTATAAGAGAGAGACGGGCAACGGAAGGGCACCGCATACCAGATGACGTAGCAGATACCATGAAAATAGGGGTGGAAGGGTTCCTAACGGCGGAAGAGACTCAACTGATAAGAAAGGTGTGTCAGGAATGCCATTTAGCTTTCGCTTTCAACGATCATCAGAAAGGGCGACTGGACGCAAAGCTAGTTCCCCTTGTCAGGATCCACATGGTGGAGCACGAGTGTTGGAACGATAAAGGGCATGCCTACGAGTTTGGAATAGCGGCGGAGGTCACCGACCTGCTTAGAGCCAAGATAGATTCGTTCGTGGCTGAACCTACCGCATCCCCCTACGAGAACAAATGGTTCGTGTTCAGGAAGCCCAATAAGACGCTCAGGTGGATCCAGGACCTGCAGAAGCTCAACGCGGTAACAATTAGGGACGCAGGTTCGCTTCCACAGACCGATTTATTGGCAGAATCTCACGCGGGGCAGAGCATTTACTCCCTGATAGATTTGTACTCAGGATATGACCAGCTGCCGCTCGATGTCAGAGATAGACAGTATACCGCAACGCACACCCCCGTAGGGCAGTTGCAGATGCAAGTGACCCCTATGGGTTTCACAAATGCGATAGCAGAGGCGCAGAGGAGGATGCTCGCCGTCGCAGGGGATATGTTTCCAAAAAAGTGTGAGCCATATATAGATGATAATCCCGTGAAAGACGCAAGGTACAAGGACGAGACAGAAGTCGAGCCCGGCGTACGAAAGTTTGTTTGGGACCACCTGCGGGATATTAAGGACCTACTCCAGCGGTTCCTAGTTTACAATATTACTGCAAGCGGACCCAAAAGCATCCTGGCCGTCCTGGAAGTAACCATACTGGGATTTCGCTGTGGAGCTTATAGGAGGAGACCCGATCCAGCAAAGACTGATAAGATCTCCCAGTGGCCGACACCCCTGCGCACCACGACGGAAGTACGAGCCTTCCTAGGGGTGGTGGGGTTCTGGAGGATCTTCATCAAAAGGTTTGCAAAGATGGCAGAGCCCATCCGCGCAATGATTAGGGAAGGTGGCACTATGGATTGGACCGAGGATAGGGAAGCGGCAACCCAAACCCTTAAAGACATCCTGTCGTCCGACCAGGTCACTTTAGCAGCACCTTGTTTCAACGACGAGGTAGGACGGCCCTTCATCCTAAGAAACAGACGGGGGACCGTTGGCAGTTGGAGGAGTATTGATACAAAGAAGCGAGGAGGGCAAAGAAAGACCAATCAGATTTGAAAGTAGGACCCTGAATTCGACAGAACGGCGGTACTCGCAGTTCAAGAAGGAAGTCTTAGTGATCCTGCATTGTCTTAAGACCTTCCAGGCATACCTGTTCGGAAGGCAATTTATCCTAAGGATCGATCCCACCAACGTCGCTGGGGCCCTAAAGAACTACAAGCCTATAGACCCGACCGTTGGCAGGTGGATAGGCTTCATATGGCAATTCGACTATAAGGTCGAGCGGATTGCGGGGCTTCGAAATAGGGCAGATGGGCTGAGCAGGGTATGCATCACGCCCGAATGAGTAGAGGACGTGGAACCAATCGACGCTTTCCTGGAGTATGAAGGAGGGACCCTTGTGGTGGATAATGAGATGTCAGATCCAGCAATTACAATAGGTCAGTTGCTGATTCAGACATTGGAAAAAGCGCGCCTCCAGTAGTTGCAGAACTTAGGGAAGGACCAACCACCACGGTTAGGCGTAAAGAGGAGAAGGATTCGTGGGGAACAGAAGTAGGGGCCAGAGAAGAGCTGATGGCGATGGCCGTGGAAGGGGGACGGGACGCCGTGATGACGTTGGCCGAAACCTAGGCACAGAAGGAGTGGCAGTATCTAGTCAACCAGACCCGGGAGGAGCAGGTTACGGATCAGAAGGAACAAGAATTCTTCCTCATACAGATGTATGAGGGCGTCTTTAGAGAAATCGGTCTGCTGCTTGTAGGGAACAAACAACCCAAGGAAGTCAGTCCCAAGGCAAGGGAGGAAGCCGAAAAGTATGTCCTAAGAAATGGCCACCTGTTCAAGAAAGAGGAAGGGATGATGCCTAGACGCGTCGTTTGTGGGAGGTCTAGACAGCTGGACGTAATTCAGGCAATGCATGACGGGCTAGCTGGAGGTCACCGGTCGTCTAAGGGGACACTTGCAAAGATTGTACCCCTGTACTTCTGGCCAGGAATGGCAGGCATGGTCGCAACGTATTGTCAAACGTGTTTGATATGTCAAGAAAGGAGCTCCGTACGGGTCTACGAGCCCCTTAGACCCACTCGGGTACTGGGACCCGGGTACCTTGTTCACCTCGATCTTGCGGTTATGCCCGTATCAACGGATGGGCTTACATATATCTTGGATGCAAGGGATAATCTTAGTGGCTATGTAGAGGCCGTAGCCCTCAAGAAGAAGACGGGGAAAGCAGTGGCCGACTGGGTGGAAGATTTCTACCTAAGACACCCCTTCGTGCGCAGGTTTATAGCTGATAATGGGACAGAATTCGTTAACCAGGAGGTGCTGAACAGGCTTAAGACACTGCGCGTACCAATCAAGATCACCGAGCCCTACCATCCCGAGGCGAATGCACCAGTAGAAAGGGGGCACCGGACTTTGAAGAACACAATCGCAAAATTGGCGACGGAAAATTTAGCAAGTTGGCCACGGTTTCTTAAGCAGGCAGTCTTCGCCGAGAACATGACTCCAAAAAGAACAACGGGGTGTATCCCAACAGAACTCTGGTATGGAAGGGAGATTAATTTTCCGGTAGAAGCTTTGGTCCCTACCTGGAACAGGCTAGATGACGGTCCACACTTGACCACGGAAGAGTTAGTCACCGCACACTGTCAGCAGGTCGCCAGGACTGAGGAGGCACTGGAAGAAGTGGTCAATCGGGTGACGGATAGCCGAATGAGGGATAAAGCAAGATGGGACCAGGTCAAGAACGTTCGCAAGGAGCCACTCCAGGTGGGGGAAAAGGTGCTAGTTAGGAACTCGGCTCTTGAAAGTACATGGTCCGGACAGCTGGGAAAAAGATTCAAAGGACCTTACAGGATCGCTAAGCAGGTGGGACTGAACACATTCGAACTTGAGGATCTTGACGGTACCAGCATAAGAGGGCCATTTCCGGGACAGAGACTGGTCAGATTTTTTAGCAGGGATCCGGTGGAACAGTGGCTACAAGAGGCTCAGGACAGGGAAACAGGGGAAGTCACAGCTTGAAAGGTAGACAGCTGGCTATGGTTCTGGACCACCTTCCTATGGGAGTGATCATGACCACAAGGGTTGTTCGTTTGTGTGACTTGATTTTCTATGGAACATGGAAACACTGTCTGAGCTGAGTATGCATGGGGTTGGGAGTTGGGGACGGTGTACTACAGTTTTGTGGGCAACGCTGGGGGCTGTATACGCGAGGTGTCTATGGACTGGAACAATGTACCATAGTTTTTGTGGGGTGATGGCGTGGACCGCTTACATGAGGTACCTATGTGGGGGGGGGGGGAACAATGTGCTTAGGGGACAAGGAGGGATGGGATCACCAACCGCGCGGGGGCGAGCAAGGGTTCCGAAAAGGCTGGCAAATCTGCAAAAGGGGATGGGAAGGTGTGTGTGTGTGTATTAGGGGTTGTGGTGATTATTATGCATGAACAGGACTAGGCAAGGAGCAAACAGCGAATGGCAAAATGGAATTCGGAAATAAAAATGACAGCAACGCTATCAATAGGCCTGCTGAGGGACAGTCATCGAGGCAGGCTGGGGAATCAAGCTCCAGGAAGAGGAAGTTATATGTGGGGTTTGACCACAACCTGGTGGTAAACAGAGGGGGCAAGAAACAAGGGACCAGAGGGTCGTCACCACTGAAGGAAGGGGAGCCAATAGAGCTGCCTTCAGACAGTGATCTTGGCAGCAACGAAGAGGGGAACCCAGAGGAGGGACAACGGTCGGGGGAGAATGAGCCAGTTGAGTTCATTGACCTCACCAACGAAGAGGAAGAAGATGAGGTAACGACGCCCACTAGGGAAGAACGGGGAAGAGAGGAGGAACCGGGTGAGAAGAAGGATAAATGGATAGAGGAATTTGGGACTGAGTTCAGCGATTGGTTTGATCAATGGGGCGAAGGCAAGGGAAAAGCTGGGCAGGGGACAAGATATATCCCCAACAACAATTTTCTCAGAAGAGACCCTCCTTCAGTTGCAGAGGATAAAGAGGCAAATGCAGCAGGAAGCGGAGGACCGTGCAAGGGAGGAGGCTCGACGCAGGCCACCTGAACATTAAGGGAATAGCAGATGCAATGGGGGTTAGCTAGAAATGGGGAAGGATTGGTACCTGGGCAGGCACAACTGTCATTTTGAATTTCGCATTTAAACTCTGCTAAATCTGTCTCTTATACACATCTAGATGTGTATAAGAGACAGGTGCAAGGGAGGAGGCTCGACGCAGGCCACCTGAACATTAAGGGAATAGCAGATGCAATGGGGGTTAGCTAGAAATGGGGAAGGATTGGTACCTGGGCAGGCACAACTGTCATTTTGAATTTCGCATTTAAACTCTGCTAAATGGACTGAAATGAGGCAACTTTTTGACTAAAGACTGGGCAATGGGTGCTACTTCGCATAAGTCGTTGCTTCTTCGGGGAAAGCATACAAGGATCATTGCACTTAGATATAGAACTGTGGCTGGTGACGTAGGCCAAAGGCAAGCAAAGGGAAAAACAAGAGGGATCTAGATGAGACGAGTCTGTAATGTTGCCCTTGCATTCGAACTTTGTCTCCTCCTTTTTTGGGAAGGACTGTAATGAAACTACTTTTTGGATTGAGGAAACTAGTAGCGATCGGGAGGCTTGTGCTACTTTGTTTGAGTATTTGCTTCTTTGGGGAAAATGTGAATTTTGTTTTTTTTGTAGTAAGAAACGGACTTTGGGGATGATTGACTTTGCCTCGAGGAAATAGGCAGGGGCATGCGAACTCTTAAACATTGGAAGATGCAGTCATGGCGAGAGTTTTTCCTTTGAAATTGTGTATCCGGGACTGAATGAGTCATTGCATGAGCCTTTGTGAGAGGTTAGGGGACCTATGGGTAAAGAGATATCCTCTTCCCTAGGAGCCTAATCCAACCTACCGCAGACAAGTCCAGACCTTTGACAAACATATAAAAAGTCAGAAAAGTGGCAAGAAAACATTGAAATGATCCAACACCCCTTGTAATGGTTGAACGGTCGGGTGGGCTAGTGCTGCTTGGGGATGCGAGCCCCAATTCGAGCACTAGACGCTAAGTCGGATGTACGGATGGGATGTAAGAATGACAAATGGCATGAGGAAAGGGAAGAAGCATGCGTAAAAACCCAAGAAGATGGCCGTCTTCTAAACCCCGAGACGAGATAGGATCCGTATCCTCGAGGCCCACCCCCTCGGACGCTAACATTGCAATGGACGAGGATGGCCCTGACCAGGCTGTCCAACTGAAATGGATAAGGATGATCCTAACCAGGCTGTCCGATTGCAATGGATAAGAATGACCCTAACCAGGCTGTTCGACTTGGAAATGGAAAGAACGACCCTAACCATGTTGTTCGAAATGGCCCCTGACAAGGGTCATTCTTTGGAATTGGCACTGGGGTCCCATTGGATGGCTGCTTGATATGCATGATATTGGAAGAGCTGAGCTTTGGAAAAGACATTGATGAGATATTGAGCTGAGTTTGAAAGAGACATTGAGCTGAACCTCTGAAAAAATATTGGAAAGTGCGGAGTCTTGGAAAACACATTGGAAGAGATATTGGACTCAGCTTTGGAAGAGATATTGTACTGAGCATTGGACTGAGATCGAGCATTGGACTGAGATTGAGCATGAGAATGGGACTGCGCATTGGACTTGGATTGAATACTGGAAATTGCATTGCATAAACAGGGGACCCTAGGCAACCTGGAAAGAGCCTTGAAATAGAATTTCTCTTTTTTTATAGTCTTTGGCCTCAGCAAGAGGGGGATACCGGTGCATGCACCGCGACCCCAAGACCTCTGTCCCTTTGAGGGAAAAAGTCTCAGTGCGACCCGTTCCTCTTCGAAAGGGTGAGGGTTAAAGGACTAAGGCACCTACCACTTGGATCGGTGCGGGACGTCTGGAACCACCTCCGACAATGAGCTGTAGTCGGGGAGTTCCAACTGCGCCTCCTGTTGAATGCCTAAATCGGCAGGAAAGTCATTCTCATTTAGTCTATTTTGCTACTCTCCAACCACACGCCATGTCATAGAGGGGTGGCATGGCCGTTTGGGTCGGACCACGGCTGCCCGTGCTAAGTTGGGCGGCACTGTCCAAGGGGAGAGGCCGGGCGAGGTACCGGGTGGAGTCCGCCACCACCACGGGCATTGACACTGCCCTGCCGGAACATTACAACCGTTTCGGGACTAATTGCGAGGTCTTCGTAACTGCACTCGCGGACTGATCGAGAGTCCCAACTCTCTTGAAAGGAAGAGGCCGGAATCCAGAAAATCACCACTCGGGAGGAACGATTCACGAGGAACGCGCTTACGGCTAGACAAGGCCCTGGCAGGCTTGGATTGGACCTACCTGACAGCCACGAGGAGGAACCTTGGTATTGGTGCTCGCCACGTAAGAGAAGAAAGGTCGGACCGGGTAGAAGGATGAGGCGTCGTCCGCTGGGGAAAAACTGATCACTCTTCCTTTTGTGAAGCGGATGGGCTTGTGTCCTTGACTTGCGGTCGGCGGGCCAAAGGTCTGCGTACCTCCGAGTGAGAACCAGTCGCACGATGGGGACATCGCGTTTTGAGTGGGGGAAAGGTGTGCCATCTACCAACGAATACGCATGAAAATAAGACTGGTAATTGATTTTGCAGGGGCTTGGGAAAAAGGGGCCTGTCAAGATGGTCGGAACAGAAAAAGATTGTAATTGGCTTTGTATGGGCCTGAGAAAAGGGGGCTTGGCAAGACGCCGGAGCAAAAAGGACTTGAGCAAGTGACATGGTATGAACTTGAGAAAAATGGCTTGGCGAGATAGCCAGGAAGGAAAGGGCTGGTGTGATTGATTCTGCGTAGATCTAAGAAAGGAACTGGCATACTGAGAGTTGGCTGTGTAATTGGCTCGTATAAGCTTGAAAAGACGAGAAGTGGCAAAGGGGCGAACTAAGCATTGTACATGAAGAGTCAATTAAGTAAAGGGCAAAAAAGGGCAGAGGATGATATGCATGCGGAATTGGCAGGTCCTGAGAAAGGCCGGGAGGAATAACCCGGGAAGAATGCATGTGGATTTGGCTACATCTGAACTTCGGGGAGAGGAAAAATTGTGCTGAAAATGTGCGGATGTCCTAAGAGAAATGAATGAGACGAAACCAAAACTGATTTCTGCTCGAGAATGTTTTCTCAATGAAATAGGAAGATAGATTTGAGATTACGAATGCAGCCTTCAAGACATTGTCGAGAGCGAGAAATAACGTACAATGAAAAACTAGCTGCAGGGCAGGACGGTGGTCAGACCCCTTCAAGGGGCGATGCTAGTCAACTTGATGAGGGAAAGAGACACCGAGCTGCCTAAAACCCTTGACGCGTTGCTAGCTCGCACCTGAAGGAAGCCATGGCGGATGATCCTGTGACATTCGCCGAGGGTGATGGGCTGGCCGTCCCCTTTGTGGGACGATGCAGAAGGTTGTTGGGAAGCTCTCGAATATTTGGGAGTTCCAGTGAGAAAGAGATACAACTGTGAGACGGACGTTGATGCACAGAGAGTGTTACGTGCTCGTTACAAAGACATTATTGAGCTTGGGGACGTCACGCAATCCAAAGGAAACCCGAAACAAAAACCTTGACCCCTCCATACCCTCCCCCGCCCCAAGGGCGGAAACTTAAAGAAGGACCTAAGAAAAGAGTGGGAAAGACAAAAAGAACCCTGGCAAACTAACTACCCATCCCAGCCCACTTCTTCTCCTTGTCTGTCTGTCACTCCAAAACCCCTACTGACCATGGACTGGTGCGCGATGAGGACATCGCGAATGAGTGGGGGGAATATGTCGGGACTGGTGAGTCCCAAATGATTTCCCGTCACTCGAGACAATGGATATGACCAATTTGTGCACGGCAGAGAAAACCGGAGGCAGGAATGTTGGAAAGATCGAAAGCGTGGGCACAGACAGTAAGAGGCTAGAGGCTGCCCAGAGTCGTCAGGACCGCCAAACTAGAAAGGAACTGTCTAAACAGGAAGCGGCGAAGGACGGTGAGAGGATAGCAGGGGCGACTCTTTCCCCAAGGACGAAGGAGGGCCGTCGGGAAGTCGGTAGTAGCATAGGAGGTGCGCAGCAAGGGAAGGAAGGAAGCGGGAAGGGACAAGGCGCAAGGCGCTGACGTGACACGGCAGCAAGAGGGCCAAGGAGACCGCAGGTTAGATGGGAACCGGCACCCGGAACGGAATAGCATGCGGGACGCAATAGGAGCAGGGAGCGGAGATCGCCGTAAGGCGGAAGGACGTCAGGAGCGCCGAGGAAAGACGTGGACTGACAGGACAAAGTGTCGGGGACCACACAGGACCAGGAGACGGCGTGGTGCCGGCAGGGCGAAGTACCGGGAACCATGTGAGACCAAGGGAAAGACGTAATGCAGGCAGGCCGAAGTGCCAGGGACCTTGTAGGCCTAGATAAAATGGCAGGCACCAGCGGAACCACTAGCAGAACGGGTATCAACGGGATAAAGTGTTAGGAGCCGCCAACGAGGGTTGAAGATCGGAGCCGTCGGCGGAATGAGGGTGACCGACCCGAGGGAAGTACACAAGAGCGGGCCGTCACCCGGGACGACGCCGGAAAAAGGGGAGAGACTAGGGATAGTAAGAAAAACAGAAGAAGTCGGACGCTGACAAAAATGGACGACAGGACGAAGGAGACAGAAGGCACCTGGGGCGACCCAAGGCAACCCTGGATAAAAAAAAAAAAAAAAAAAAAAAAAAAAAAAAAAAAAAAAAAAAAAAAAAAAAAAAAAAACACGAACATAACATCAGGTGGACGGGACCTTCCGGGCCAGGGGGTTCGGATGAAAATGCTAAGCACCGCCGCGGCGAGCGCCGGCGGGAGGTGCCGAAAGGAAAAAAGGAGAGGGAATAGCGGCAGTAAGGGGGAGCCGGCCAGCAGTCCGAGTATCCCGGATCAGCCAGGCCAAGCAAAACGAAGTTCCAAGGGCTCCACGTGGAAAAAGAGCTGGCCGGAGAAAATCGGAGCAAGGGGGTCTCAAACTGGAAGCGGCGACAGCAAAAGGAGCCCCCTTTGGCCTTGGGGGTGCTACTACTGCAGTCCGAGGTGCAACGGCCATGTGCCG